CAAGTTGCATGGTAGAATTTCGGTCCTTTTAAATTTGCTTATACTTGTTTTATGGCCAGTTATATGGTTGATCTTAGAATACATTCCACGCGGTGATGAGTAGAATTTGTATTCTGTGGTCTTTGGATGGAGTGTTCTGTAGGTATCAGTTAAGTTCATTTAGTCAAGGGTCACATTGAGGTTTCAGACCTCATTGCTGATTTGTATCCTGATGATCTGTCTAGGGTTGTGAGTGGGGTATTAAAGTCCCCAGTTATGATGGTGTTAGAGTCAATATCTTTCTTTAGTTTTCCTAGAAGTTGCTTTATGAAAGTTGGTGCACCTATGTTGGGTGCATATATGTTTAGGATAGATATTTCTTGTTGATGGAGTGAACCTTTTATCATTATATAGTAGCCCTCTGTATCTTTTTTAATTTTTGATAGCTTAAATGGTATTTTGTCTGAAATTAGGATCATGACTCCTGCTTTCTTTTGTGTTCCATTCGCCTGAAAATTTGTTTCCCATTCTCTTACTTTGAGTCTTTGTATGTCCTTTCTAGTGAGATGGGTCTCTTGAAGGCATTATATTGTTGCCTGATGATATTTTATCCATTTTGCCATTCTATGTCTTTTCAGTGGTGTGTTTAGTCCATTCACATTCAGGTTGATTATTGAAATGTGAGAGTTTGTCCCTATCATAGAGTTCTTATAGAGTTGTTGTTCTTCCACTTGGTTTTTTTTTTTTTTTTTTTGTCTTTCTTTTGGTTTTGGGGTTGGTTCATGTATATTTTATTCTTTTCCCTGTACTCTTGTGAAGAACGTTGTTCTTTTTTCCTTTTCTTCTGTGTTTAGTACTTTCGTAAGTATTTCGTGTAGAGATGGTTTGGTGGCAGCATAAGTTCTTAGGGATTGGATATCTGGGAAAGATTTTAATTCTCACTCACTGATGAAGCTTAGCTTGGCCAGGTAGGTTATTCTTGGTTGAAATTGTTTATCTTTTAGGACTTTGAAGATAGGGCTCCAAGCTCTCCTAGCGTGCAGGGTTTCTGTAGATAAATCTGCTGCTATTCTGATTGGTCTTCCATGGTAGGTGATCTGGA